AGTGTGTTTTGCTCCTTAATAGTTTAACAGTTCTGTGAAGCACAGGTAATGACAGCAGCAGGCTTGAGAAAATGACAGCAATATTTCCAAAGGAATAAAGAGAGACCGCAGTCCAGAGAAAATGATACTGTGAAAGCAGTTATCTATTTTGTTATTAAATATTTTACAAGCCTTTACCTTAATCCAGCTTTAAACAAAGACGATATGTAGATAACAAGCTAACAGTTCATTTTTCTAGGTGAACCTTAAAATTAGTTACTAGAATACGTAGAATACCAGGAATCCTAATAATAATAGCTAAATTATTATTAACAATAATAATAGCAACAACAACAGTAAAATCTCCAAAGCATCTGTCTAACTGCTACCACAGTATACCTCTGCTGAGCAATGTGGACCTGTTTAGGAGCTGCTGAAGTGGGAGTCTTTATGGAAGCACTGTCTTCCAGTAAGCAAGGTTAACTAGCAGAAGTTTCTCAACCCTTGCTATAGTAGAAAAAGTATCTGAACTCTGAGGGTGTTCTAAGAATTTGAAACACCACCCACTTACTAAAATCCAGTCCTTTCTTTTCTTATGGTCTACCTCAGCTTTTTATGAAAAAGGTAGCTATCTAATACAAAGGGGGAAAATTCTCAGTTTTAGACTGTTAGCATCTGTTTGGTGATATTGCAGATTGATACAATTATCCTCAATAAAAGTATTATCAGTTTGTCAACAGTATTGGTGACTAAATGTCTCTCAAATATCTGGCTCAGTTTATTATGGAGGTTAATTGCCAAAATGTCTTAATCCCAATACCACTTATCAAAGGGGTGTCATGTATCCATAGGTATGTGGATGGAACATGTAATTCAGGATGTGATAATGGATCCTGACATTGAAAATGCTGAATATTTTTCTCCTGTTTATCTTTAATATGTGCTTGTCATTGGCATTAGCTATCACGTTATTCTAATTGGAGACAAAGTCCTAGCTTATGTGAATTCTTCTTACCACAAAAAGTCAACTCATTTATTCTATGCTAATTATAAAAGCTTATCAGTACCTTTTCTTGGAAGCCTTATATTTCCTTTGTTAATTTTTCATTATTAATTCCACAGAGAATTCAACTGAACAAGTGAAAAATATTGAAAAAAACTTTCTCATGGATCTGTTTTTTTCCTCTAGCTTCTTGCACCATTTCATGATCCATCGTGACTCTTAATATTTTCATGGGAATAAGAGGAAAGGCAATGGCAAGCATCTAAGAAAACAAATGAACATGAGGACTTCCATTAGATACAAGGTAGTGAAAATGGGAATAGGTGAAAAATGCAAATAATTTGCTCTGCTTTTTTCCAGAAGTATGATAAAACTAAGCAAAATTCTAGATCATTACTTTTTTATTCACTCCACACTCAAGCAAAATTTTTGCTGGGGTCTGTGTTGAGTCCTTCCTGAGTGAAATTTAGTTCTTAAATGAGAATAATGAAAGAAAAATAATTAATGGATAAACAAGTAAAAGTACTGAAGATTATGTCAATATGCTAACTATACACTTAAGTTCACACTGCTTGTTCATTTAAACACAAGATAATACAGAATAAGGTCAGGGGAAACCATCCTGTATGCATCCCCAAAGATATCTGATACATCCAATGACAGCAGAGTCCTGTTTATTCAAAATACTCTTGGAACATCAAAACATTTGGATAAACAGGGCTTCAAATAATTGAGGGAGTTATTGTATAAGTAATTCACACCAGGGGGACATAACCTAGATTCAAAGGACTGAGTTTCAGATCAAAGGGGTACAGATAAATGGGATTTGGCTCTATATGAACAAATAAAATAAACAACATTTGATTATTCAGGAATCAAGAAGTGTCCAAACACTTTCTCAAAAACAGTTTAGGACAAAAGGTCAAAATTGTTGCAATAGGCCATACAGAAGAATATTCCTATGGAATCAAAATAACATAACTAAATGAGACCAAAAAGATATGGGAGTTTGGGGGGGTGGGGGAGGGGAAGAGGAGAGAGGTAGTGTTTCTGTGCATGCATGTGTGTGTTTCTTTGTTTTGTTTTGTTTTCTAATCTCACTGATCTTCTAGTCAGGATCATATGAACTTCACCAAGTTTTCTAACCTTATTCCAGCCGTGACATTCACATATATTTTGTGACGCAAGATGGGGATTTGTAACATCTCTGTCTCTGTTACTCATTTTCCCAAATGCCCAACAGAAACAAACTTCACAGTTTGTACACAAGTTTGGTCTTGGATGGACAATATTGTCTGATTGTTCATTTTTCTATTAATATCATGACCCAGATATGATTCAGCTACATACAGACATCATAATCTCCTTTTAAATGCCTTTTAAAATACAAATCTTGGAATTAAAAAAGATGTTGATCTATGCTGATATTCACTCTCTTCATTATAAATATGGTGGTGTGGATACTTTGCTAATTTATACAAATCAACAGTATTTTCCTTTTCCCAAAAGCTATGCTCACATTCCTATACTTAAGTGTTGTCCCTTGCTGTCTGTGTAGGGGCCTTTTAACAGTGGGAGTGGTCAAACATTTATGGGGAGTGAAGGGTCTGAAACCATGACACATTTTGATTTCCCTCAGCCTTTGATTTCTGTAGCCAACAGCCCAGCAGGGAGAGCGCTACTCCCACCACGGTGCCTCAGCTTGAGCAGCCCAATCCTGGCTCAGAAGCCATAGGGAAAGGAAGGCTTCTGAGTCATGCATGGGTGCCTCAAGTTTCAGAGGCATTTTTTTCAACCATGTCACAAGACATATCAGACTGTCCTGCTGAATCCATCCTGACATGTCTGGGCCTTGTGGTTGGGCTTTTGAGCCCACAGGTCTGTCAGTGCTGCAGGGGCCAAGTCCTGCACCACACCTGGGGCAGGTTTGTTTCGTACCAAGGGCAGGTTGTGCCTTATCCCTTGGCCATGGGGCAGGTCTCATAGGCCTGTCAGCTGCCTGTTCAGCTACTGGTACTACTACCCTATGCTACACCTCTCCACAGGGATGCTCACACAGCCTTCCTCCTGCCCTCTGGCCCCTGATTTGCCACTTTGGGTGGCAAAAGCTGCCACATCACTTCGGCTGCCAGCAGGGCCAGCTGCATCCTCTCTGGTCCCCTCCTCTGGTCCTGAGGCTCTCCCAGAGGCTGCAGGACAGAGGGGAGTGGAGCATGGCATGGGGACGTGCCATCCCGGTTGCTGGCATTGTTTTCCCCAACTTCCTTTCTTCCATGGTGAGGGGCTGCAGGATCAGGTGCATGAGGTGACACACCAGGGCTCTGAGGGGAGAATGTGTGGGGCAGCAAGGATGGGCTTGTGGTGACGTGGGGGAAGAACAACACTTAATGAAAGATACGGAGAAGGGAGCTTGGAGAAGTGGCAATTTGGAGTTGAGTTTAGTAGCAAGGGGGAAGTAAACATGTGTTGGGGGCAGAGGGTGCCATTGGAAAGTCACAGAGGCAGTCCTCAGCATGGAAGGAGTCTTGGTGCTTGGTCACACAGGGTGAAGGGAGGGAGAAGCTGAGGAATGGAGATGATTTGGGGTGTTCTGGAGTTTGCTGGCAGGTTGCTGCAGTGACACAGTCTGGAAGTGAGTAAAGGTAAATCATAAAGAGCAAAGCAGGGCTTTTCCTTTCAAAGCAAATGTTGGCGTTTTGTTTCCTGAGCAGACAGAAGGATACCTTGGAATTGGTTTAAGGTTTCAGTCTACTAGCCTGGTTTCTTCCTGCCTCCTCATCTTACTAACTCCTCTGCAACTTGGTAAGTAGAGTTGTGTTGTCTGTGGCACAGGTAAAGAGCCAATTTCTAGTTTTATTCCAAATTACAAGAGCACCTGCTGTCTGTAGATATAAGTATTAAAACAAAGTAAATTTCCGTCTTCAAAAAAATCAATAAATAAACCTGAAATAGTCTTCTCTCAGGGAGCAACAGATAAGGCTTGTTCAAGTTTTGCCCTCTCTTTACTCTCCCTTTTACAGGCTTGTTAAGACTTCCCTCTCTGACTTAAGAATGCTTGCGCTCTCTGTGGCTCAGCTGGAATTTGAATAGGAATATCTTGATGAGTTTTCAGTCTGGAGTGGAACAGGGAAAAGAAGGTAAAAATGGCACTTGGTAATGGTAATGGTTTCAGCTTGATAGCCCTGGAGTCTGGCTGAAACTGTACTGAATCCAGAAAATACATAGGCTTGTGCTGAACTGGAAGCAAATCTGCAGAATCTTTTCTTTCATCCAGCTCCTTAAGCTCTGAAGGTTAAAGACAGGCATAATACTTGGGCAAGAACAGTAAAAGTTTTCTTACACTGCTAATATGAAGCCTGGGGATCTAGCAATCAGTCTTATTATCATCGAATCCCTGGATTTTTGGTTGCGTTTCCAATTAAGAGAGTGGCTGTGCTAGTTTTGATCTGTTCATCTAAGGACCTGAAGTTTATTTGCTCCCATAAAATTCAAAAGCAGGTCTGTCACTGAGTTCACTGGTTACAGGATTGGCCCTATTATTTTTATCTTTTTTTTTCTCTTCACCCCCCTCCTTCCCCCAAGGTTCTCTATAAAGGGTAAAACCCCCAAGAGATATAGGTCCTTCAGAATCAAACAGAATCAATGAATTTCCCAAGCTTATTTTCAGAAGTAGTTTTTTTTCCCCTTTCCTATTTCCTGCCACAGTCTCACCTTTTCTTTAACAATCTGCAACTACAGCTGCGTAGTGGAAAAGAATTCAGAAGTTAAAAAAAAAAAAGTGGATGTTTGGGTCTTAAAATAATATACACATTAAACTATATTTAATTGTGCCTTATCAATAGGCAGATGAACTCAGGTGTTTGCTGTTGCCATTGGTCCTGATGCTCTGTAGCAGGCAGAGGCAGCAACTGCTGCTGATGGAAAAGAAAAGGTAGTGGAAGGAGGAGGGGAGAAGAAGATGGGAGACGAGGGATTGGCTGCTTTTAATGTCAGTCTCAGCTGCGGCCCCGGCTCTTCCGCTGCTCTAGCTCTGGCTCTCCCTTGAACAGCTCCCAGAGAGAACAAGGCGTGCGGAGCTCCGATCACCAGCATCATGCTCCTTGGGCTTGGATCGTAGATCCCCCTCTTTGAACATTAAAATAACTCTTTCGTCTTTCAGCGTCCCAAGCAGACCCAGAGAGAGAACACGCACGTGAGAGAGGAAAGAAAGAGGAGGAAGACGAAAATCTGCAACCAAGGGGACTAAAGCAGAGAAAAAGAGTGCTTTGCTTGCACAGCTGCAAAGTGGGAATTTAAAGAGCTGCAGAGAGAGAAATTCCAGCTCATCAGCACATACACATTGCAGAATTACAGATCCAGGTAGAAATGACATCAACGGGGAAAGAAGGCAGCGGAGCTCAACATGCACAATATGTTGGACCCTATCGTTTGGAGAAAACCCTAGGAAAAGGACAAACAGGTTGGTTCTTTTGCAGCAGCACCGGTGCTAGGGGGAAGGTGCTGTGGCAGCCAGTGAGGTGTCGGGGATGGGATATTTGAGGGTTCAGGTTTTCCCATTTGCTGTTTTAGTGCAGATAATATTCGTAAGGGATTTTTGTCTTTATTTATTTTTAGTTTTCATTTTGATTCTTTCTTTTTTCTTTTTTTTAAAAAAGAAAAGAAAAAGCCCAGGATGCTTTATGTTCATTACTCCTGCTAATGGGTGTTGTTCTAATGACAGGCAGAGTGCATGCAGAGGAAAAAATAGATGATCTGCTGGTGGTGAATTTTCACATCCATTTCTTCACTGCCCTACTTAGGAGCATTTTCTTTTTAATCAAATTATATTGAAATTAAAGGTTCACAGCCTGTAGTACCGAGGAGGGGGTGGTGGTGGTAGTGGGGGAGTCACCAGCAGTATTTCATGACATCATGATTGAAAAGGGTGTAGTCCTTAAGGTGCAGTTGAGGCGGGGGGGGAGGTGGAAATACGTACGGTATGTCTCTGGCACTGACTGCTGTGGGTATTTAGCAAATATGGATGGATGGGCTGGTGGTTTTTGTGGGTAGAGTCTGAAATAAAGGAAAAATAGAGGATTGGTAGCAGAATTCATTCTGGTTATGCTGTGTTTTTGTAGGAGGGATTGGGAGGGGGGGAAGGGAGGTTATTTAATTATTTTTCTTAAAGCTTGTTTATGAAACTCGCCCCCAGCAGATTTTCCTGAATGGAACAATGGTAAGAAATATTAAAAAGAGGAAACGGAGTGGAGGGAATTAGCAGAGAGCAGGTGCCTCTGCCCTACATGACATAATTAGATCCCCTGAATGCGTTCAAGATTTGGACTTACTGTTGCTTGCATGGATAGCATATTCACTTCAAGGGCAGGGGAGCATTAATTGGAAGAAAACCGTGCTTAAAATGAAGCCCAAATGTCTTCCTTTTTTTTTATTTTTTTTTTATTTTTTTTTTAGTAACAGGTGCAATAAGCAATGGCATCTGGCAAATTCATTGGGTTGGGAGCCCCCCAAAAGTGGATTGAGACTCGAGATTATTATTTAGGGAAGGGGTAAGATCAGCTATAGGGGGGCTTCTTTGGGCATGTGGGTGTTAAGTGTTGTTCATTATGGTGGGACAATAAAACATGATGCATTGTGGTGTATTTTTTTTTTTTTTATAACCCAGCCGAGCTTTGCCCATCTGTTGTCTAAAGGATTTAATAGGCGTTTCCAGCCCCAGCTGCTGCCTCTACTCTGCCTGCTTCCTCACTGCCCTGCGTGGCAGCAGCTCTGCAGTCCGCAATTTTCTTAGGGACACAGTCAAAATCCAGATCTTTCTCTGTAAGAAGCAATGCTCTTCTGAGATGATTGATTATAACCTCCCCCCCATCCTTCCCCTCCTCTTCACAACCCCATAGCAACCGTTCAGAGACATGGATGAAGATGACATTGTCTTCTAGTGGAAGTGACTTTTATTTATATTTTATTTTTTTTTTCAAATCTCTTCAGTGTATCAGCTCCTAAAGGTAGTTCTCTGTCACTGTTTTAGGTACCACCTTTATTCTTGGCATAGCTCAGTAAGTCTTCTGCAGCTGTATTCTTACTAAAATCTGTTCTGATGATGATAACGAAAATACAAGAAAAATTGTGGTGTATTGTTAATAAAACTGCCCTATTTCTGCTGATATCCTTTCCTGGATACTCCAGGTGATCAAAGAGCTAGCTGTAGATGACAAATTCATTTTTGCCTTCATCACCATTTCCTTTTTTCTCTCCCTGTCTCACATTCTCAGCACCCCTCCCTCCCCTTTAAATACAGTTGTGCTAGGGGTTCCTGAAAATACGGCTGCATTAACCTTTTGCTCCATGTTCTTATAGCCTGACGTTGTGGTCCTAAAGGGTTATCTGCAGCTTTGGTTATTTTTTTTCCTCTCTGCTAATCTTCCTATCTTCCTCCTAAGTGATTAGAGATGTGGGGGTGGAGGGAGAAGAACAGGATGTATTTAGAGGCTTGCTGCTGTTGGCCTCTGCAGTTATTCAACCAGCTGGACAAGGGTGAAAGTTTCCTTTTGCAGTTTTACCGTATAACTGATCTTTATAGATAAGTCTCTGCTCTTTGCACACATGAATGCACATGAAATGCACAATGCATGGTGTCATAGAAGCTGGAGGTGGGGGGAAGAGGAAGAGAAATTTTAAAAGTAGCTGATGTCAGTCTATGTCTCTCTTGTTATACCCGCCCTTGATTAATGGAATAATGCACTGAGGTGAAATCTAACTCAGTATTAAACATACATGGCTAAATATGGAAATATGCCTCCTGGTCTTCTCGCATTTTCTGTGCTAATCCCATTTTGGAGCCTGCAGAACAGCATGAACAGTGTGTGGCATGTAGCTCATCTTCATCCTGCTTGTTTTGGAGGGTAAGCAGGCAACCTGCAGCATTTTAGGAAGAGGACAAGCAGTGCAGTATGAGGGCCTGATTTACCATGGTATGTTGTCATAGTATGTTGTCATTTTTGCATTTGGGTTGCAGTGGCATACAGATGAAGAAAGTAGTGGTTGTAATCATTCCTTTGGAGCTTGACTTTAAAGCTTGAAAGATTAGGAGACAATGGCTTGGAATATTTTTTTATCCCAAGGACATGAAAAGAGTGAGAGAGAAAATGTGGCAAAATGTAATGATGAATAGAAAGTATAAGTTGTGTTGCAAAGTACTGTCCATTTTGCAGTGATCTTCATATCCATCATTTTTATTTGGAATAAAAAATTATTGACTCTATACAGTTATTTCAGATAGGCAGATGTTTGCTCCCAGATACATTAGTATTATACAAATGTGTTAATCACTCTTACCTGCTTTTACTGAGATCAGAAGAAGAGGCTTTTGGGAAGGAGTGTGGGTTCATTCATAGTTCAGAGTAGACCTAGAAAGGGTGCCATGGAGGGAGAACTTAATGGTAAGTAGAGCTTTCACTGGCTTGCTTTCTGTGAACTTCTCAGTGATTGCCACTTTAAAATCTGAAAAAAAGTGTTTACCAACAGCAGCCTGCTGGTCCCTGCAAAGACGTTGCGGTATCTGGGACTTCAGTGGAACCTGGTGACACTTGGCTATGGGTGGGCAAAACTGGCAGGGAAAAGCCTTCTGTTCAAATTGGTGGGTAACAACCGAAATTGTTGGTGGATCAGATATGCAAAATTTGTCCTGAGCAGCCTTCTGGGCTGGTGCGTCACGCTTGCTGAGGGTGAGTGATGCCACAAAGAAGGGATTAGGGCCTCTTAGGCAGAGAAGTGGGAAGAGGGTTACATTGCTGCTAGTGGGAATGAAAATTATTTTTAATAATGCAGCACATAAATTTAATGTCTACTTTGAATACCGTAGCGAGATGGTTTGCTTTTGTAATAGGTTGAATTCAGAGCACCTCTTGTCGGTGGCAACTGAAGGAATAGCTCATGGAATCTTTATTTGAATGATTTCACAAGAACACAAGAAGCATCATAATCTTGATTATTCTACTCAAAAATTATTTTACAGAACTGTCAGTGTAAAAAAAAATCACTGCTATATAAATATGGGTGTGTGGGGAAAGGTCAGTTTATCTCAGTTTCATTGATACATTCTTTTACAGTTCATTATAGGAGGTTTTCACTGTAATTAACAGTAATGAGCAAAGGATGTGTGTCACATTATGATAACACATGTGGAAATAGTGTACCTTGAGAAGCCCCAGTCACACCTGATTGTGAAGCAGTGTTTTAGTTTTAGGCAAAATAGAGGCTTTTCTCCATTTGCCACTAATTTTATGTGAAATCAGCTTCTTGCATACTCCTTGCTTTATTTTTTGAGAATTGTACAGTTATCTCTGTTCATGTGTTTCTTTAGCCTCATTAACCCCTATTTCACCCCTGAAACTCTCAACAGTAATTCAAATTGACTATAGTGAATACTTATTAATGAGTGCAAAGATGAGGAACTTGTGTTTCTTGTTAAGGTCTTCAGCATTTTGGAGGGCTTTCTTGTGTTTTCATTTGACAATCACTGTATAGGCTTCAGCATCATTGTTTCCTGTAGCACCTGTTCAATGTGTAGTTGAAATTTCCAAAATGCTGCTTTGTCTACAAGCAATAAGACATTAGCTCTAAGTGGGAGTTACCCTACTCACTTTGAGATAAACTTCATGAAAAATTTAATGTTGCTTATCCGTTTGTCTTGTTCCTTTCATTCTGTTTTAAGCCCGGTACAAAGAGTCCTGCCTGAAACTCACGGGACTTTGACCTTCTCAAAAAGTGTAGGGGTTCCCTTTTCTGCATTGTATCCTATATAGTTTGCAGCTGTTTAGGTGTATAACATGTTAATTATATGTGAGCCATAAGTGAGGTGTTCAGCAGTGCACTGTTGGGTTATGTAAGAACAGAAGTCATTAAATTTGGGGTTTAGTGAATTTAATAGCCTTTTATTTAGTGGGAGCTTAAACAGGATGTTTCTTTACAGCCTTAACCATCTGTTTCCATGACACTGATAGAGACTGAAATTTATTAATTTTTTGTTTTTCTCTGTCAAATTTGGTTGAAAGTGAAAGCTTCAGCTCTATTCAAGGGGTGTTGGGGTGGTCAGTGTGATCTCAGAAGCCTGGTTTCCTTAGGTAAGTAGGCTAAACAAAGTATATCCTTTTCATTCATACTACTGTAATTGTTTTTCTGACCCACTGTATTGGATCAAGAGACAATCTGAAGAGTACAGCTTTCTTCCATTTAGCTGTATGGATGAATATATAATTGTAAGAGGTGTAAATCATTGTAGTTTTTCTCATGGCCTTTTTAAACACACAAACAAACAACAAATCAGTAGGTATACTAATAATGTTTTCATACATATACTTTACTTTCCTTATGAAAGTTTCTTTCAAAACAATGAATCCATACCCTTTATCTTGACAGTCTGTGAAGACTTAAATGTTTAATTAGTAATCCTAGAAATAAATT